TTTTTCTCTGTGATTTTGACATGTGAATTTCTTTTGTAGTTTCTGGTTCTTGTGTGAGACTCAGGCCTTCAAGTTTAGGTCTGCTTCTTTTTGTGAACTTTATGTGTCTTTGTGGTTTACTTTTTGGGCGTGAAAAGTTGGTTCATCTAAGCTTCTGGTTCTCTCTTTTGATTTTTATAATGGAGTGGCCAGATTGCTTTTGTCTTCAGGAGTTCCCACAGAGGCCCAATTCAGATGAGGGTCAGATGTTTTCAGAATTTCTCCTAAGGCCTGGATCCCTCCAGGAACGACTTTGGCTTCAGGAATATGGGGGTTGGACTGGCCTGGGAGCCTGGCCATGAAAGATGATGGTCTATGGCATCTGGTAGCCATGCCACCCAGAGATGCAAAGGCAGATGGGGTGGGAAGAGGCCCCAGCTCCTCCTGGGGACTACACTGAGGAGCTGGGTTGGTCTGGATGCAAAGGATCAGGAAGAGGAAAGATCAGCTCTCCCCAGCCCCAGAAAGAGGCTGTCAGTGGTGCAGACCCAGGGAAGCAGAGGGAGGTGAGGGTGGGGCCAGGCCCAGAAGCAGTGCTCCTGGGGCCCAGAGAAGGCACTATGTTGGTCTGGATGAAAAGGATCAGGAAGCAGTATTAGTTCCCCAGGTGTCTGGGGCCCCAAGACAAGGAATGGGGCCAGCCCAAAATCAGGGGAGAGAACAGTGGGGGAGATGAGAGGGTGAATGAGGCTGGGGGAGTCAAGGCACGGAGGCTGTGTACTTACCTCAGAGAGGCCTATGGCAAGTCTTTCAGGCCCAGGGAAGCAGAGAACCTCTAGTTTTACAGAAATTTCAGTATTTACACATTTTCTTACATAATGAACAGCATTCATTTTCACATCTCATTGTTGTATATTTCTTTTAAAAATGCTAATGTACATATATTCTTCAAAATAATGACTGCAATATTATTTATCTGTTGAAGGAATAAAAGAAGTCCCTTAAAACAGACACTTAAAATACACAACTGAGTAACAAACAGAGTAAGAAACTGTGGAGTGATCAACTCTAAATTGAACATTTATATCACACCCCTCTCCTAAGATTCAGAAATCTTCCTGGAAAGGGAAAAGAAAGATTGGAAGAGCCAAAAGTGGGTGATGACTACAAGGAAACGGGGTTTCCAGACAACAGAAGAGTTGCACGTATAAACTCACAGTCATTTTGAGGGCAAGCACACCACCTACTCAAGCTGAAGTCACATAAAGCACCAGCATGGAGCAGGGAGGTGGGCAGGAAGTCCCGTTCTTAGCTGAGGAGCCTTTCACGTTTGGTGGCTATGGGAACAGGAAGAATCAGTTTTCCTGGAGGGTATGACACCTGCTCAGTTCACTATGTTCCAGGGCACAGCTGCCAAGAGTACTTTGGCGACACACATTTGATTCTATGGGGAAAAGTAAACACAGATTTGGGTGGCCGGGGAGGTAGGGGTGGATCTGGGAGGAGTTAGGAAGGGGAAATATGATCAAATTGCAGTGTATGGAATTCTCAGAGAAGAAATAAGAATATTTTTCAAAACTCTTACCCAGTTTTGGAACTTTGGACAAGTCTCCATCTGTTGCAAAAAGCTTAATAAGCCTTTTTGATGAGAGGTTCACTTGTCTATAAATATAACGATACATACTTAGAATATAGTAAGAAGTTATTTTGGTCTAGGAAAGTGGCAGATGTATGTTCTTCTATAGGGTCCATGACCTCTCCAGCCATGTGTACTTGGCTATGTTTATAGTAACACACATGAATTCCCTCCCATTGACAGGCCTTAAATCCAATTTGACAGTTGTTGATTAAGTCCAAGATAAACAGGATTTGCCTACCTTAAACAACACCAGCAATATTAAATGCACTAATTATTTACAACATGAATATTGTGTTATCAAAACTTTTTCAGTTTTCTCAGTTACCATCCTAGAATGTGAACTACATGAAAAAATTAAAGGTAAGAAAACAGGTTTAAACTGAAATTGATTTAAAATAAAACCACAGTATGTAGATCATTTAAAGCTCAAATGGTGTTGTAAATTTTCTACTCATATTTTGATAAAGAATACTCAAAGACTAGAATATGATTAAGCGTCTTTATAAAATACATTACTTTTTCTCAAAGTGTCATAATTTCAGTGGTTAATAAATGTGGAAATTATTACAGTTATATACATGGACTTCTATTTGTGCAAAATTTAAATATCTAAATTTTACTAATAGGCAAAATGTCTATATTATAACTTGGGTCATATCAGATATTCAAGTTCCACATAAATTTCTTTTTCTCATATAAATTATTAAGACACTGATGTGAAAGTGTGAGAATCAGTTTAGCCATTGAATGCACTTCTAAAGCAGTGAATTTTCCAAATAGAAAGGGAAGAAGCAAATTGCAAAGTAATTTTTTTATTCTTCATTAATAAAAAAGGACAGAGGGTTGGGAAGGATGATGCAAAAATTGCATTAATTTCTTCCAATATTGCGATTTTCACAGGCGAATAAAACCCATAAAGAGTGACAAAGTTGTTCAACCAGTAAAAGAACACAAAGCAGCTTACCAGCCACAGAATGTCACGAGTGGCTTTCTGCTCAGGAAAAGACTTGGGGGAAAGTCTTGACCCGTGGAGACCCTGGGCTCTCCTATGGTGTCTATAGAGGACAGTCACCATGTAGAGGCTGGTCCACATCGTGAGGACCTCAAAGAAGAGGTCTCGAATCAGTATGATACTTAAAAATGACCCTGAATTGTGATTCCCAAACTGTCTGCTTTGACAATAAGCATGATAATATCCATTGCCAGTGAAAGTGTAATTGGTTTTGCCTTTTACCATTTCAACTATAACACTGTAGATAAGCATATTGATGAGCCACAAGCAAACAAAGGAGGGAAAAGTCCACATGGAGAGTTTAGGCTTAAGCCACGCCCACTTGGAATTACTGGGAGTGATGGTGGTGGCTTGAAATGTGCTCAGAATACAGGTGGTGCAGATGGTAAGGGCCCGAGTAACTCTGAATACATACATAACTACCTTACAACAAACATCATCCAGAAAACGACGTACTCCAAAAGTTGACAGGATATCTGGTATCAGTGTGAATATAACCATCACTATATTGACTATGGTCAGGTGCATGAAAATAGAATCTATAGGCCTCTTAACATGAGGTTTAAAGGAGAAAGTGTAAATATAAAAAATAAACAGTAATGAGTTCCCTCTGATACCAACACAAAACTGAGCTATGAGAACTATTCCCAAGATGGTGTCACTTGAAAACATGATTGTAATGAAGCTTCAGGTTTGTCAGGCCAAAATGAGCAATAAATGGACTACATTATAAAATTATTTTTAAGATGATATTTGTTGGAAATATACTGGTTGACAGTTCAGGATGAAAAACAGTTGGTGAAATATCCAAGTCCTTTCAATTTCTGTTCCAAAGGTGACACTTTCAGAAAGTGCATTTCAGGAGCACTTGAGACCCTCAGAAGATGGCAGGTATTTGAAAGCAGGTCACATAAACCGAAATGCCATCACTCTGTGGTGTGAGGCCAAAGGATACATTGATCTATGTGAAAGACAAATTTGCATGTTATGAGGAATTTGTAATCATCAAATTAGACAATATGTCTTCTTTAACCCGGGTGTTTATAAAAACAGCTACTTAACACATTGGTGGTAATATATATGATGTGTTCAAACTGCCTTAGAGCTTTGGCTGCACACATAATTCTGCCAGTGTAGTGTCTGTAAATTCTTAAACATATTTTCCTGTGAGACTTTTTGCCTCTCATTCTACCATTTAGATCAACAGCATTTTTTGTCTTAGTATAGAGCTGCAAATACACAGAATGTGAAAGTAAGCCTGCCAGTACATATTTGACAGTATTGATCACATCTTCAAAACCATGTGAGTTTTGCCATTGTTTTTAACCAAATTGATCAGGCTGATTATGATCGATTATGAACTTGATGTAACAAAGATTTTGTATATTTCATTTTTTTGCTTTATAATATTCTTTTTTAAAAGTTTTTATTGAGTTTTTGTACATTTCATACAACAGTTCTTAAATTCAGTTCACCATCCATGCCCCCCACCCCCACCAGACCTCATGTATTCCACCATACATGTCAAATACTACCCAGTCAAGCATTTGTACCCAGATGTTCTTCGGTGCAAATTCATCCACTGGATTCTAGTCAGCCTATCTAGAGATCATAAATAAGGTTTACTCTACCTACATGGAGACAATACATTCTATACAAAATAAAAACAATAAATAAAAATTTTTAGAAATTTTATTTATTGTTTTTAT